CCAGCGCGGGTGACGAGCTGTTGCAGGCGCGTCCCGCCGTGCCCGCCGTACCCAGGCGTCCGCTGTACGTGCAGAAGTTGGGAGATTTCTCGAAGTAGACGAGGTCATGGGGGGAAGGCGGCTTGTGCGCGGGATCTTCCGGCTCCAGGCGCAGCAGCTCGGCGCGCGAAGCGCGGTTGCTGCCGCGGTTGCCGTAGAGCACTCGAGAGGCGCCGTCGAAGCGATCGCGCAGCACGTCGCCCACGGCGCGCAGCGTAGGGAGCCGCATCCAGCAGGTGCGCACGGTGCAGGAGCCGGACATCCCGTGGCACTTGCACTCCTGGCGCATCTCTGAGAACACGGTCTGAGAAGAAAACCACACTGTCTAAGCCAGAGCCCTCAACTCAGAAGCCGCCCCCTCCCGGACGCCGCCGGGAGCTCAGCGGAGGCCCAGGCCGAGCCAAGCCCGGAGAAAGGGAGGAGCGAAAGGAAAGACCTGCTGAGATTTGGACAATCGGCCAAGCTCTGCGAGTCAGTCTCCCTCTCTCAGCCTTGACTTTTGAATCTGGGCATGGGGCCGTAGGCAATCACCCCGCGTGTTGCACGAATAACCTCTTCCATTCTACCTGCCTTCTGCTCTGGCACCCTTTGTTCCCCCTTCCCTTCTCCTCAGCCTCCGCTCCCCAGAACGCCCTCTCCTGCCGCCCTTCGCCTCACCACGGAACGTTACTTCCGCAGCCCAAGGGTGGCCCCTGCCGCTCTTCCTCGGGTTAGAGCCTCTCAGGCTCACTCACCGTGCGACCTGCCTCGTTGTTGTGAAGGTTCATGAGGAAGCGCAGGTCCCGCCCCTTCTCCCCGGAGTCCACGAACTCCCGGCCGAAGAGGCGGCCGAAATCGATGTTGTCGCTGCAGCCTCCCCAGTGCCAATCGGGGCCTCCAGGGCCGCGCCGCCGGTAGTCGCACGTACAAGACTCAATGGAGCCCTCGGAGCAGGAGCGCGCCACCGAATGAGTGACCCCGGCGGAGGTGATGGCGAAGATGAACGCTGTTTCCCGACAGCCTGGGGGCAAAGAGCGCGGGGATCAGTGAGTGCGCCTGAGGGGCCGACCAGCACCCTCCTCGGAGGACTTGGAACCCTGGAGTCCCACACCCCGGCTCCGCCTTTGGAATCCTTGAGAACTGGACCTGAGGCAGCGCTGGGAAGCTGCTCTCCAGGTTTCACAGAGAAAGCCGGTGCGTGAGCACGCACCCACGAACTCTCTCTTGATCAAGTCTTGCTGGAATTCTTCAGAGCAGTTTTGGGCTCTAAAACGGAAGTGGGGTAACCCCAAAAAGAAAAACCGAAAAGAGAGGAGTGGGAAGAGGAGTCTGCATCCTGCAGACCTCTCCACAGCCCAAATGTGTGGCCCATGGTGGCGTTGTAAGTGTTGCTAGTTAGGAAGCAAGACCCATCCCCACAGAGAGTAGGCGCTTTGAGAAAAGTAAGGGGAGAACAGTGATTAGCTGGCTCACAGGCCAGAATTCCTGTTCTCTTGAGCTATAGCTAAGAAAAGTTAAGCTTCATGCCCAAGGTGTGTGGCTGGAAAGCTCCTGGTAGAAAGAATCTGGCCCGGAGTTGACTCCAAGCTTGAGGCAGTTGGCAGGTTGCTCTGGTGACTGTGGGCGCCTGGGACATTTTTCCTGCACTGGCCCGCCTATGCCCTGGGGGTGACCCTGCCTTTCCCCTGGTTCCGGAAGCGTTGCCTTCCTGGGCACCCACCTCGGTTGACGATCTTGCCGAAGAGGTGGGGCCCAGGAGCAGTGGGGCAGTTCCAGCGGCGGTTCCGGAACTGCCACTTGCACTCGCGCACTGCACTCTGCAGCCCACCGCTCACGCTGTGTAGGATCCCCGGGTTTTGACGGATCAGCCGCCGCTGCTTGCGGCTCAGCAGCTGCAAACTGGGCTCAAGCACCAGCTGCAGACTCTTGGAGTCCGTCAGCAGGTTCGTGGAGGAGGCTACGTTCACGATGCCCCTGTTGGGACGCATAGTGAGAGCTCAGGTTCGGCAAGTGGACCTGCACCCCAACCATAAAGGTCATGCCTTGTGGTTAGGGTGCTGCCCTCTGCCTGGGGCCATGTGCCTGGAGAAAGCATCGGAGATCAATAATAAGGTAACCATGACTACGTGCGCCTGGGTTCACCCATTGGAAAGAATAGGGAATCCAGACTTTTGCATGTCCAGGAGTCTGAGAACTGCCTGGATCCTTGGATCCAGAGACTGGAAAGAGGAAACTGGGAGACTGGATGTCTACTTTGGCTCTCCCAACCTCCTCTGGTCAGCTCCAGTGAAAAATCTTGGTCTGCAAATGCTTAGGAGGCCCCCATCCTCACCCTCCCTTCTAAGCTAGCCCCCCACCCACCCGTCCTTTGCTTCCTAACGTGGGGAAACCTTTGGTGCAGCCACCACAGCAAGGCTGGGACTGGGCTCAAAAGGGAAGGGTGGTGCTATACAGGATTGGATGCCTTCGGGGAGATCATCTGCTCCACTTGGGCAGAGCTGGAGTGTCTAGGCAGCTCGAGGGCCACAGCACCCCTTGGAGTGGCAAAGCGAAGTCAAGGGGCAGAAGGGAATCTGTGGGCTGATGGATCCCAGAGCATGGGAGCTGCTTAGGGCTGGTCCCTGGCTCTGTGCCCTAGGACAAGTGGCGACCCCACACCAGCTCACTTACCACCATCGACCACTGCTGTTGGCAGCCAGGGCTGCGGGCAGAGCGGCCAACACCAGCAGCAGTGTAGCAGAAACCCAGCTGGGCAGCAGTGCCCAGCGCCCCATGGCCTGCCTGGCCTTGCCGGTTTCTGTGCTGCAGTTGTGGCGGCTTTGGCTGCTGCCCGCGACGGTGGGACCGGACGCGGCGGTGGCGGCAGTGGTGAGAGGTCGCAGTCTGGCTTTAACAACCCTGGAGGCGGTCGGCGGGCAG